CGTACTGAAATACTCGAGTGAAGCCGACGGGGAAAAGCCCCGAGAGAATAGAAACATATCACTTTCCTGAGGACAGGAAGTAAAAATTTCGACTGTGCAATGCCGAGGAAATGGCAAGAAAAATAAGAAAGAGAAGAGAGGGGGCAAGCATATATGTATACATATAATATTTTAAGAAAATTTTTACATTATATACTAGCCAAAGAAGTATTACGTTTTTTAATTGCGCGATTAATAATGAAATATTAAAAAAAAAATAATAAAATTTTTTTATGCATATTCTTATCTTCTAAGAAATGCATAAAAAATACTTTTACACACACGCGCTTGCATGCGGAATATTAAAAATATCATGTTTTTACTTATAACAATTGTAATCAAGAATTTAAATGTTCTCAAATAATTTTTATACTTTTTAAATTAAAACCGTGCACATAAGAATTGTATCACTCTAATAAAAAAAAAAAGAAATTAATTTTGAGTATTATCGTCGTGACACTCGTTAACGGTATAGAGGTAAAGGATGAAATTACAGTCAGCAATGAGAGAACGAGCACGATTAAGGTTCGCGTAGAAGGACTCTGGAAAGGAGGAAGAGAGGACCACGGAATTAGATATTACTCGATGTTGAGATCGCTCGCCAACTGGCTTTGATATATTACCGAGCGATAATCCTATCTGCGGGTAAAGCCAGGACACTATGATACAACCGGGGCAACTGAACGCCACGTCGACTCCGTTGCACCTACATTATACATCCAGCTAGCTACCTGTCTGTATGAACTAGACTTGTGTCTGAAATGTCTATAACGCGGAGAAGAGAGCGAGCGCGGTTTATATGGGCGCACCGACATCTCTAGTAAGAGCCTGAAGATGCAGATTCATGTTGACGAAGGAAGGTAGAAAGGTCAAGCGACTATGTCAAGAACGATTGCAATGCATTTCACTGACGTGTAGTATTATATTATATGTATGTATATCTCACGAATACACGAAAATGATGAAATATTCCACGTTACGTGAATTGGCAAAATTCCCATATTTCCGCTGTCATATTAAATACAATATAAAACGAGGGGAGCAATTACTACAGTGTAAATGATTTTTTTGTTCCATCCTGAACGGTTCATTGCACGCAGCAATGCAATCGATGACGCGTAACATTTGTGTAATCAAAATGAAAAGCGTATTGATATATATTATTATATAATAAATTTACAACATACACATCATGTGAAAGAATATAATAGCTCCATCATATTTATTTTATTTTGATTCATTTTTCAATTAACTATATATATATATATATTTTTTATTATAAACTTTACATTTAAATTATATTATACTCTTTTGTTTTATAATATGTTTATTTTTATAATTTAGTATTTTATCAGTATTTTTGTGATATAAATATTTTTTATTTATATATCTTATATCTCATTTTTTTTCTGCAATTCATATATCGTTTATCATGCTATTTAAATTTTAAAAAATATATTGCATATATTTTGCTGTCATAAGTGTGTCTCTTTTTTCTCTTAATACAACGACATAATTGGTCATTGAGAATGATATGACTTATGTTTGAGCAATTGCTATAATGTTTGAAATTATTGTGTTTTAACTCTCTTCTATCATAAACATGAATTTAAATCATCTTATAATCCCTAAATATATTGAATGGATAAAAATATTATTATAAATTTACGCTTCTCCAAAATGCATTGAAATAATTAGGATAAATTTTTGTAGATATTGGAGTGAAATTCTAATGGGGGATTTGACTATAACGGAGTATTGCGCCGTATAAAATATCAGCCTATACGCGCGCGTTTTATACGGAAAAAGCGCATTATACGATTTACTGATGCCTCAGTCCTCGCTTGCGTTATCTCTGGCGAATTGATAACCACCATCGACGACGTAAACAATTTTTCCCCGACTCCTGTGCACACATCACCCCACTTAACTGCTTCTCAAAGCCAGCGAAAGACGAGCGCGCGTATTGCTTCTGGGCCACAATGCAGTTTCAATTGATTTCCAGGTCCATCTCGAAAAAGAGATGCTCGAGACCTCCGGCGCGCTACGATGAACCGAAAGAAAAAAAAAAAAAGATGGAAGGACGGAGAAAAAGAAAAAATCCGAATTCTCGATACATACCGATATATGAATGGCCGTTCGCAGATCGCCCCCGGGGCCAGTCCGACAAAATTGCATCCGGAATTTCAATATAGCGCATATCATATTTCAACCTTAAAACGCCGCCAGCGTTGTCCGGGTATTACTTTGAGGCTTCTGTGCTCGTGCAAGTCGACTTTGCCGAACGATTATAGAAATTCCGAGTGCGGTAAGGTGCACGCAGATGAAGCACGTATATACACACAATCACCCTTTTCTCAACCCTTTCGTTAGGATGAAACAACCTCTGTGCGTATGCGCGTGTTTTATACGAGAGACATTAGACGCTTTTTGCTCGGAATAAATGATCAAAAGGTAGCTCCGGATTAAAGCTGTCGCTCCTACCTGATGATAACTTGCTTTTATACAGCTTGCCTGTGCGATTCGATGCTTTATACAGCGTTTTAATCAAATTTTTAGAAAACAAGATGATGTCATTAATGTACATTTTGCGTTGATGGAAATAAATTCGCGCGTGTTTTCTGGATTCGTTGTCCGATTTAGAGCTAATTTCGGCTTACAATTAGTAAAGAGAGATTTATGCGATTAAGGTTTGACTGTGAGTAGAAAATAGGAATTTATTATAATCTTTGTCAAGTAGATTTAATTGTGATCATTATTTCGTAAGTCTGTTAGTGAGTTCTAGTTTTTAATCTCTAATTCTAACTTTTGGTTTTACAGTTAAAATCGACATTTTGCTACGTGTGATCTCGTATTGTCATTAAAATATTATAATGTACAAGGATTCCAAAAATAAAAAAAAATGTGCTAATAAGCTAAATTAATATGCTAATAAGCTTAATAACATTGCTCTTGTTTGAAGTCGAATCTTAATTTTGTCAAATAAATACACAGCCTAGCTTCTTGTATATACTGTTCATTATTTTTTATTAATTCCATCACCTCCTTTTCTTTCATAAATATAGGGATGTAAGAATTATAGAACTCTACAAAAAAAGAGACTAGTAGCTTTAGAAATAATCGATAATTACTGTGTAATTAATAAAATAGAAATGAATAAAAGAGATTAATAGCGATATTAAACTGGAGATTACGAGCCGATTATAATTTCAAAGTTTGTTCTTTTTACGTTGTATTTGCTGGAAAAGGGGAAAATTATCGCGGTTCACACACACACGCACACGCACGCACGCAAATCGTAAACGAGAAAGACGAGAGAAATTAATGTCAGTTCGTTAGGATGGCTTGTGTCCATGTCGCAGAATTTAATTACTAGTGTGAGTAAAAATAAATGGCAGCAGCCACGCAAAATATACCGATTTAATGAGGAGGAACAAGCATATCGCCATCGGCACACTCGCGATATTCGCCGTTAGACGGAACGACCTTTCGGGTAATTTTCGCTGTATCTAACGATCTCTAGATACGACGCGACGAAACATTTTTTTCTTCTTTATTAATGAAAAATATCATAAACGAGTTTCAAAGCAATCTTCTGCCAAGTGCTCGACGCGATGCGCGCGGAGACAATTTTCTTCCAAAGTTTATCCGAAGTTCGCGATTATCGAGAGACGCTTCCATTCCGCGAGCGAAAAATTCTCATTATAACTTATCCGCGATCGACTCGACGGATATATATATATATATATATACCTCGGGAATCACATCGTTGACGAAGATGACGAGTCTGAGAAATCGTCAAGACAATCGGGCGGCGAAAGCGTAATTGAAAAGGATGAAACTCACAAGCGCGCGGATATCCGCAGAGATGAGAAACATCGTTTTTCCAGCACGAGAAACACACGCGAATGAGAAGAAACGAATTCGGAAACGGGCTTGAACGCGAGAAAGACAGGGAGAGTTGACGCCGTCGAGTGAATGCTTGGCTCACCACTGGTGATTTATTGTTGCGGGAGTGAGGAAAGAGTTGTGAGAGGATATACGTGGGATGTAACGCGAGAGCGAAGAACCAAGGGACGAATGGTAATAAAAACATTTATTCGGCAAATGAAATTGGGAGTGAATGGGTGAGATTGATCGGGGGAGTTATGCCATTGTCGGCGAAAGATTCTGGTGGACAACAAGATCCTGGCGAATGTTCCGGTGATATCTCATCGTTTATCACGATCTAGGGGTAGAGAGAACTCGTAAGTCCGGAAGATCGTCCGACAAGCTGCACACGCGGTGTTGCATTGAGCGCGACTAAGTTCGCGTGTGAGTTGCGATGATTAATCGATAACAGGCTCCATATGATACGGACAGTGTGTTGTCAATGTGATGAAACGACCCTAATCACATTAGTTAACGATGGTATGATCGATATATTATGATGGAACAGGTCATCCCGTTTCGTTCAGTTTAACATCACAGTACGCTGCCGCCGGCGTTCACGTCATGCTTATCTTGCTCGCGTATCAGCGTGTTATACGCTCACATCTACATGTACATTATGATAATAGAAGCGAGCTGGCTAATTAATCGATCCACATAACGATGCTACCTGCCTATCTCCCAATTTCAGTTTGCGCAATATATATATGTATGTATTTACAAATGCGCCTATATATCTACACGAAGACACACATTCTGTATTACAGAGGAGAAAAGCATTAAATATATTATTATAATTATATACTTTGCGAATAAAACTTTTCTGCGGAGATATTTTTTTATTAATAGCTCTCATAGTCGTTTTTTATTGTTGTATATTTAATTTAAAAAATGTTGCTAATATGAATCATTGCCAAACTGAACGAAAATGATGACTGGAGATCTCTCTCGAGAAAAAAAATAAGAGAAAAAATCTGACGTATTTCCTGCGCGACAATTGTTATTAACCCGCGTTCTCTCGTCTATTGCAGTGTGCCATTTGCTACGAAATGGTGTAGCAGCGATTTTTGGACCGCAGAGCGCGCACACGGCGTCTCACGTGCAGAGCATTTGCGACACCATGGAAATTCCGCACTTGGAGACACGCTGGGACTACCGGCTTAGACGACAGAGCTGCCTCGTCAACCTCTATCCTCACCCTACTACTTTGTCTAAGGTACGTATACAAACTTGGGGAATAATAGCCTCATTAAAGCGACAACTGCCGCAGAAAATCTGCCTCCGTGGCCTTTCTCTCTCTCTCTCTCCTCGGTTTCACGAATTTCTTGCCCCTCGTAAAACTGTTCCATCTCGCTTTCGTCGACAAACAAATATCGCTTTTTTATGTCGTGGGATTAATTAAACGGTCGAATCTCTAAATCAGGATGGTATTAAACATTTCATAATTTGCTCGGCATTTTATGCTGCATTTAATTAAGTGTAATTATTTAATTGTAATTGTTTAATTAATTGGGATCAAAAGGAAATACAACGAAACTCAGGAGAATTAAACTCTCGATAAAGATGAAGAAATATATTATTTCTCAAATTTCAGGATCATAAATGGTTTGATAAAAATATAGTATGATTGATGAAACTATATTTCAAAGAGGTTTAATATTTTACTAGTACAAATATTTTTTTTAATTTTTGCCTGTGTATATATCCTTTTTTACTGGTTAACCAAAAACATAGCTATTGGTAAAATCAAGCACTATTTGAATTACGTTGAAGCAAAAGAAACTATTTCAGTTTTCGCTTTAGCCGTGCGTTTTCATCAAGCCGCAGCGCGGCTTGAATTGCTTTCTCGACCACTGCGTTGCATTTGCAGCTATATCTAGTTGCATTGGATGCTGTGCTCACAATGCGACAGTTTCTAAACTTAACGTAAAAGAACTGAAACTTTCTAAATTTCCCTTAATAAGCTCAAAGTTCTCCCGGGAAAGAATGCGGCTGAAAGCCTCAGTCGCAGGATTTGTGTACCTCTCGAGCTTTCGGGTTAACGAGACTTCTCTCCCTTTTTCTCCACACTTTTCTCTCAGCTTGTTGTTTTATGAATCCTCGCAGCTCTTTTCCTTTTCCCAATATTTGCGACTCGCGAACACTCGCATCTTGCGACATTGTGCTTCCTTTCCTTCTCGCTCGTTCTCTCTCTCTCACGCGTCTTTTCTCAATATTTACCACTAGATTTGTCCTCCCGAAAAGCGTTTTATTTATTCCCTGTATAAAATGTAATGGGAATCCTGCTCATCGCCCACCATTGAGTTTCCTTTATCTTCAGGGAATTTCGTGAACGTTAACCGTAAATAAATATCCGAGATACTTTATGCTTCAAACGAGAGAACATTGAGAAAGTCAATAAATCTATCGGGCAAACCAAACGCGTAAAAATTCACCAAAGAGAAGCGTGAAAGGCAGCGAAAATGAAATTTTCTTCTGACATATGCGTTCGAAGACTTTTATTTATGTCTTACGTATGTATCTAATAATAAATTGGAAGAAAGAAAAATCTCACTTTTATATTATATACAGTATTGTATAGTTTTATATTAAACTAACTAGAAAAAAACTCAATTCTTAAATAAAACGAGATCGGCAAATCGGTATTTATTTTTGCTTGACAGATAACCCGAAGAGACTTTTATAGATTTTTCAGTTGAAATATTGATAGATAATAATTTACGGTCGCGCACATTGACTTTGACATTGCCGATCAAAGAGCTTTCAATCGGTGCACAGAGAGCACAATTTAAAAGCCATCGCATACCTCAAGTTATCCGACCTTTCCTCTTGCTTCCTTTCTTTTTTATCTCTCTCTCTTTATCCTGTCAGAGTAAGAATTTCAATTAGAATTCGCTCATGTGTCGCATCATTGAACTTGGAGCATTCGTTAGAAATCACCTATATCTAGTGTTGCCAATAAACTCGCGCGATCGATAACTCTAATTACTCGACATTATTTATTTCACGCAAACGTTTTATTATTTACTGTGATAAATTTTATAATTCGTGTATGTTTATAAAATATTGGAATATGCAAATATCCGTACGAAGACAATAGTAGATATATAAATATTACGTAAAATAATAAATCAATATTTATACATAATACGAATGTATTCATCTCTTTTTACTTTTTCTTAATATCCATATCTGTTTAAAAAACATAGAGATTATTTTTTTTTTATTTCTCTCGCTTCTAAGAATATTAAATGTATAACAATTTATATTTGTATACGCACGCAAAACGAATAGAATATAAATCCAGTAGAAGATAAATTTGTATGCATTTGAAGAGACATACAAAAATAATCCGTTACATAGATTTTGTTATATTAAACTTAATTATATCTATCTGTATTTATGCACATTGACAATTGGATCAAAAAGTTGCATATACGACTTAAGCAAAAGATTTATAATAAAGCTCGATTTTTTTCTGCAAAATCCAATGTTCACATTTTATTGTGCGCGGAAAATTGAAAATCACAAAAAAAACTAGAGGATATTTAATAAGTCTTCGTGTTCAGAAGGCGATAAACATCAGGTTTCCTCAGTTTCGCGTTTCCATTCTGAATCCAGTAGGGAAGTAGCTTACGTGTCGTCAGTTATTTCACGGTGTTGGAACGGAGTTGGTTTTCCCTTACTCGAGTTCTTTTCCTCTCGGCAAAGTCCTGCCACTTCCAACACGGCAAAAATGCAAAATTCGCTAGGAGAGCAACGGCGTTCTGATTAGAGTACTCGAGGACGGAGGGAAAGGAAAATTGAAAAAAGGACAGCAAAGGTGTGGAGAAATGTTGGCGTCGATTCCGTCAAACGAGCGACAGCCTCATTCAGTCAACCCCGACGACGGAAATATTTTACTTTCTGGTACCATCTTATGCGCGGTTCAAAGGAACCGAAGGCGATTGCAGAGAACTGATGGGAAAAATGGAGCAAAAAAGGAAGTGCAGTCGCGTTGCAGTGAGTTTCTTTGATTCGCATCGAGCATACGAGCTGCGGGGATAAGTTTCACATCCTCTTTGCACCGTGGCTCTACGCAGAATAACAAATTATTGTACTAACGCAAACGGCACATTATTCCAGATAATGACAAAGTTAAAAGAATAACTGCGCAATCTGCGAGAAATATCAACTGAAATGAAATGTTGAATGCATTAAAGTACTTTCAAACGTTTGCAAATCATAATTTGTCTGTTAATAAACTCAAATCTTTTTTTTTTTAATAATTTAAATACGGCAACTGTATTGCAACAAACGTTTTTATTTTAATCAAACAAAAATCTAATTTTTTTTATATATATATTTTTAATTGACATTGCGGAATAAATTATTTTGATGTAAGATTCAAAGAAAGAAGACTAATTATTATTTTGTTTCAAATATTTAACTGTACGAATTAAATGAGTAATGGACAGTAGTTGAACGAATTTTATTATTTTCAGGATAAAAATGACACATTGTGCGCGCAATGCGTAAAATATTACTTTTACTTTTCTTTTTTTTTCTTATTTCGTATTTTACATACAAACGTTTTGATTTGTAAAAAAAATAACAATACTTCAATATACAAATAAAAAGCGACATATTTCGTGACTGCTCTATCACGTTGAAATGTTTCTAATCGTGACGCTTTAATTAACGTATTCAAACGCGAAGACGAATCTATCCAATCTCGCTTTGAGCTTTAGAACAGCTCGTATTGTCCGTGTTGAAATCGAATTGTCAGGTATTTCGATTCGCATTCCTGCACGAACGTGAACTGCTTCTTCTGTTCTGTGTTCTGTGTGAATCTCGTGAAATAAAATAACTCTTTGTAAGCTATCAAAGAAATGCCTTACAAACTTGTCGAATTCTCGCTCTCTCCTAATATCTTTTTTAATAATGAATAAAACGCGACAAGAAAAAGAAATAAGTATTTTCTTTATTATCTTATATAATCTTGAGAAATAAATGGAATTATCGAAATTATACATCTGTATTAGCATTTTCGACTTGGAATCATCAATGTCTTATTTTTATATGAATTTATAGATACATGTATCATATAAAAAGTATATATAAACATATATAAAACATTATATACACATATGTGGAGCCTTATTGATCATTATAACCATTGTGGATATCTTCTGATTATTACAAGATGCATCAATTAGCGATTGCTTGTTGTTTCGCCTAAATTTTTCAGTTGTTAAAATGTCACTAATTAATTATTATATGGATTATATGAATTATGTGGATGTGGAATAAATGTTAAAAACATTTTCAATGTATCATATTTAATGCATATTTTTAAAAAATTCTCTACAACTAAAATTATTCTGTACATTACGAACAAATTTGAAGCTTGAAAGATCCTTCTTTCAAACTTCAAATCACAAAATAATATTGGTCATTTCGATCATAAGGTATCCAATTATGATGATATAGCAAACGATATGTTGGTATTGATGAACCTCGAGAGGCGCAATTGCCGCGGTAGCGGCAATGATTTAACGATCTTGTTCCTGGTTGATAATGGACCGATTTCTATGCTGCGATGATCGTCAGACCAATAGTCGCAATATATACGAATCGGTTGAATCAACCATTATGTTACTGTTGTAATCCAATTTGTGCCGCTTCCTATCCTAATCGAGCCTTTTACTCATTACGTTTTATCATGCCACATTTCATCCAATTTACAATATTGACATCATCAGCAGATTCAGTTTGGAACATTCAAGAGTTTTAAGGAAATATTTTGTAATTATATTTTTCTAACTGCATTTCTCTCCAGTTATTATATTATGTGTATAAAAACGTTTTACAATTTAATGATGGAAATATTTGAAATTTATGAACAAATTTCTGAAATTTACCCATTTGTTTTTAATGAGATTAAGTAACTGATAAAAATGGAATTTATTATTATTTTTAATTGTTTAATATTCAATTTAATCTCAATATAAATTTACAATTAATTTCTTTTTTAATTATATTTTGTACAATTCGCAATAAATTGAAATGCAACATAAATAAAATTATTCTTGTGATCACATTTTTTTATTAATTTAAACAGAGTTTACGACAATATCACACTTTATTACATTCAGAAACGGCCGCAATTTCATTCGCTATTCAAGTCGCACTTGATCGCCATCACTTAAACAGATCATCGACGATAAGTACGTA